TGGGAGGCCCCGTAATCTGCCAGCACCCTACCCTATGAAAAAAATGGAACACACACCAGCAGTGTGAGGAGACCTGAAAGTGGGCACATGTTTGGGGCATGATTCATGGCGGATTTAGTCAGTTGTGTCAGGAACTGGTGGTTTGAAATCCAGACTAATCCACGCCTGATTCATTTTCACAAACGTGAGTCTCTCCACACTTTGGGTGGACAGTCGTGTCCTCCGCGGAGTTACAATACCTCCTGCCGCACTAAACACGCGCTCCGATGCCACGCTACTGGCCGGGCATGACAGCCTTTCAAGGGCAAATTCAGCTAGTTGGGGCCAAAGGTCAAGTTTCGTTGCCCAGTAGTCAAGGGGATTGTCTACCTCGGTTGGCAGGGTGCTGTCCAAGTAGGCCCAAGCCTGTTGTTTGAGGTCCTGCTCCAGGTCCACCTGATGCTGCTGCTGCTGCTGCGGCTGGTTAGTAGTTTCCTCACTGCGCTGGTGAAGAAAGCTACTCATCATCGACTGCAGACTGAGGCAGCCGCTGCTGGTGGAGCTGCCACTGCTCCTACCACCCCACCCCTCCCCTGCTGCCATGGCAGCGGAACGCGAGCGCACAGGGCCCACAGTGTCTGAGGATGGACGTTGGCGCACAAAGGCAGAGACCAACTGACTACATAGGTGGTTTTTATAGTACGTTATTTTGGCCTCCCTCTCAGCAGGTGTGAAAAAGGCCACCATTTTTGAACGGTAGCGAGGGTCCAACAAGGTGGACAGCCAAAAGTCATCCCTCTGTCTGATGGTTATTATTCGGCTGTCGCTACGCAAGCAACCGAGCATGCTATGGGCCATTTGTGCCAAGGAATGCGAGGGACTCCCTGCCTCCATCTCCACAGCATACTGCCACGGTGCGTCTGGGTCCTCTGTCTCCTCCTCCTCCTCCTCTCTACCAGATGCTCCTGCTCCTCCACTCCTGTCCGCTGAGTGGAAAAACCACCCATTTCACTCAATAATTCCTGAGCACAAATGTCCTCCTCTACCTCCTCCTCTTCTTCCTGTCCTGCCCCCACAGGGGTCATGTGGCGTTGAGATCTGTGCGCCACGTCTACCGCACCCTGACCAGCCATTGTTAACAGCATTTGTTCCAGGACGTGCAACAGAGGAATGACGTCGTTCATCCCATAGTCCTGCCGACTCACGAATAGCGTGGCTCTCCTCAAAGGGCCTGAGCAAGCGGCAGGTGTCACGCATGAGCTGCCAATGGCTGACATCGAAGTTACACAGGGGAGTACCTTTATCCGCTTGTAACATCAGGAAATCGGTGATGGCCTTTCGCTGTTCGTAAAGGCGGTCTAACATGTGTAGGGTTGAATTCCACCTTGTTGCAACGTCGCAGATCAGGCGATGCTGTGGAATTCCGTTCTGCCGCTGCAGCTCAAGGAGGGTGTGCTTTGCGGTGTAGGAATGGCTGAAATGCATGCAAAGTTTACGTGACATTTTAAGGATGTCTTGCAGTGGGATGGTGGATTTTAGGAACCGCTTGACAACCAGATTGAACACGTGAGCCATGCATGGCGCATGGCACAACCTTCCTTGACGCAGAGCAGACACCATGTTCTTTCCCGTTGTCGGTCAACATGGTTCCGATTTTCAGTTTGCGCGGAGACAGCCATCTGTCGATTTCTCTGTTCATTACACTCAGAAGTTCCTCCCCTGTGTGACTACGTTCGCCAAGGCATACATACCAGGTGCAGCACAGCGTGACACCGTTGCGCCCTGCACATGTGATATGCCGGTCGGGTAATGGGACTTGGCACGGGGTGGGTGGCGGCTGAGGACACGAAGGAAGAAGAGGTGGTAGAGGCGGACATCTTTTGTGGACCAAGGACGTGCAAACGTGGAGGCAAAAGCGGCGTGACCTGTCCAAGTTGCTGGTGCGGCTGTGTGGCACGGCACCACGTTCACCCAGTGGGCCGTAAATGACATGTACTGTCCCTGACCGTAGTTACAGCTCCACACGTCGGCGCTGCCCGTGCACTTTGGCAGAGACCGACATGCTCAAAGACTGGCCCACCATCTCTTCTACATGTGAATGCAGGGCTGGCACTGCCTTTTTGGCGAAGAAATGACGGCTTGGCACTCTCCACCGCGGCGCGGCACAAGCCATCATTTCTCGGAAAGGTGCTGAGTCCACCACTTGGAAAGGGAGGGACTGCAGCACCAGCAACTTGGACAGGAGGACGTTCAGCTTTTGCACCGTCGGGTGCGTGCTCGCAAAAACTGTTGTCTCTTGGAAACGGATTCCAAGAAAGACTGCTGACGGAATCCGTGAAGAGGAGTAGCAGGAGAAGGAGCATCTGAACGAGCGGAAGATGGCAACGAGCGACAACTCCCCTCAGCAGAGGTGTTGGAGCCTTGACTGGCTGATAGAGGGCGATTGACGTCGGGTGACGGAGCAAGTAACGGAGCGGGTGTGATGGAGCGGGGGCTGGGGCGGGCAGAACCGCCGTATCTTTTATCACGGTTTTCCCAGGCCACCAAATGGCGACGCTGCATATGCTGCCGCAACGCTGTAGTCCCAACATGGGCCCCCTGGCCACGCTTGACTTTCTGGCCACATAGTCGACATACGGCTACGTTTACTTCCTCGGGCGGCTTGACAAAAAATTGCCACACCGCCGAGTAGGAAACTTTGCCCCCAATACTCCTCACTGGCTGACTGCTGCTTCTTCCTCCGTGCACACCGGCACCACTACTGGCCGTGGTGGTAGGCTGCAGTGGAGCTGGTGCTGTACTCCGTGGCCGTTTGCCTCCACTGACACACTGCTGCGACCCTGCTGCCTCCTGGGCAACCCACCGACTGTTTTGCTCGCTGCCAAGCTGCCACCCTCTTCTCCTGATGATGCGGAAGCAATAGCCTGATGACGACGAGGCTGCCAAGTGCTGCGATCAGCCTCATCATCATCAATTAGGGTCTCCGCCTCACTACTAGCCCCCTCGGCGTGCGTGGGTCAGGAGACAGACCTGTCTCTAGACCGGCTAACGAGCCACTCTCCTCGCCACTACTTCTTCGCCTGGCTGCTGAAGAGGCGGATGTCTCCCCCCGAGTAACCGTTCCTGACCGCCCTCTGTTTGCTCTTCCTCACTGTACAGTGGGGCTGAGCCCACAGCATGCGATACTTCGCTTGGTGGTGAGGGAACACCAAAGGACAGGGGCAGGTAGAGGACACGTGATTTCAGTGGGCTTGCTCCCGGGCCATGCCAACTAACGGTTGTGTCTGACGTACCCACCGACCGTTGGCTGTAGGTGTCAGAGGTGACCTGGGAAGAGGAAGACGACCGAGTAACCAATCGATGACCCTGGCAGGGTTGTCGGTGGAGACACGACCGCTGGATGACCCCGGTAGCACTGGCCTCTGGCTGCGAATAGTGCTGCCTCGACCCCTTCCTCTGCTGCCACGTAACTGCTCGCTCCTAAAACATTGCCTCCTCTGCCACTCCTCTGCATGTTGTCTGACATACTCTTTAATTAAACGATTCTGTGTCCCTGAGTAACAATTCTGTGTCTGTCCCTGAGTAACAATTCTGTGTCCCTGAGTAACATTTCTGTGGCCCTAAGTAACTTCTGTGGCCCTCAGTAACAATTCTGTGTCCCTCAGTAACAATTCTGTGTCCCCTCAGTAACAATTCTGTGTCCCTCAGTAACAATTCTGTGTCTGTCCCTGAGTAACAATTCTGTGTGTCCCTGAGTAACAATTCTGTGTCCCTCAGTAACAATTCTGTGTCCCTGAGTAACAATTCTGTGTCCCTCAGTAACAATTCTGTGTCCCTGAGTAACAATTTCTGTGTCCCTGAGTAACAATTCTGTGTCCCTAAGTAACAATTCTGTGGCCCTAAGTAACAATTCTGTGTCCCTCAGTAACAATTCTGTGTCCCTCAGTAACAATTCTGTGTCTGTCCCTAAGTAACAATTCTGTGTCCCTAAGTAACAATTCTGTGGCCCTAAGTAACAATTCTGTGTCCTCAGTAACAATTCTGTGTCTGTCCCTAGTAACAATTCTGTGTCCCTAAGTAACGTTTGTGGCCCTAAGTAACAATGTGTCCCTAAGTAACGATTCTGTGGCCCTCAGTAACAATTCTGTGTCCCTCAGTAACAATTCTGTGTCTGTCCCTAAGTAACAATTCTGTGTCCCTAAGTAACGTTCTGTGGTCCCTAAGTAACGTTTCTGTGGCCCTAAGTAACTGTGTTTCTGTGTGGCCCTCAGTAACAATTCTGTGTCTGCCCTCAGTAACAATTCTGTGTCCCTCAGTAACAATTCTGTGTCTGTCCCTAAGTAACAATTCTGTGGCCCTAAGTAACGTTCTGTGGCCCTCAGTAACAATTCTGTGTCCCTCAGTAACAATTCTGTGTCTGTCCCTAAGTAACAATTCTGTGGCCCTAAGTAACGTTTCTGTGGCCCTCAGTAACAATTCTGTGTCCCTCAGTAACAATTCTGTGTCTGTCCCTAAGTAACAATTCTGTGGCCCTAAGTAACGTTTCTGTGGCCCTAAGTAACGATTCTGTGGCCCTCAGTAACAATTCTGTGTCCCTCAGTAACAATTCTGTGTCTGTCCCTAAAGTAACAATTCTGTGGCCCTAAGTAACGTTTCTGTGGCCCTAAGTAACGTTTCTGTGGCCCTAAGTAACGTTCTGTGGCCCTAAGTAACAATTCTGTGGCCCTAAGTAACGTTTCTGTGGCCCTAAGTAACGTTTCTGTGGCCCTCAGTAACAATTCTGTGTCCCTCAGTAACAATTCTGTGTCTGTCCCTAAGTAACAATTCTGTGGCCCTAAGTAACGTTTCTGTGTGGCCCTAAGTAACGATTCTGTGGCCCTCAGTAACAAATTCTGTGTCCCTAACTCAGTAACAATTCTGTGTCTGCCCTAAGTAACAATTCTGTGGCCCTAAGTAACGTTTCTGTGGCCCTAAGTAACGAATTCTGTGGCCCTCAGTAACAATTCTGTGTCCCTCAGTAACAATTCTGTGTGTCCCTGAGTAACAATTCTGTGTCCCTAAGTAACGTTTCTGTGGCCCTAAGTAACGTTTCTGTGGCCCTAAGTAACGATTCTGTGGCCCTAAGTAACGTTTCTGTGGCCCTAAGTAACGTTTCTGTGGCCCTCAGTAACAAAATTCTGTGTCCCTCAGTAACAATTCTGTGTCTGTCCCTAAGTAACAATTCTGTGGCCCTAAGTAACGTTTCTGTGGCCCTAAGTAACGATTCTGTGGCCCCTCAGTAACAAATCTGTGTCCCTCAGTAACAATTCTGTGTCTGTCCCTAAGTAACAATTCTGTGGCCCTAAGTAACGTTTCTGTGGCCCTCAGTAACAAATCTGTGTCCCTCAGTAACAATTCTGTGTCTGTCCCTAAGTAACAATTCTGTGGCCCTAAGTAACGTTTCTGTGGCCCTAAGTAACGATTCTGTGGCCCTCAGTAACAAATCTGTGTCCCTCAGTAACAATTCTGTGTCTGTCCCTAAGTAACAATTCTGTGGCCCTAAGTAACGATTCTGTGGCCCCTCAGTAACAAATCTGTGTCCCTCAGTAACAAATTCTGTGTCTGTCCCTAAGTAACAATTCTGTGGCCCTAAGTAACGTTTCTGTGGCCCTAAGTAACAATTCTGTGGCCCTCAGTAACAATTCTGTATCCCTCAGTAACAATTCTGTCTGTCCCTGAGTAACAATTCTGTGTCCCTAAGTAACGTTTCTGTGGCCCTAACTAACGATTCTGTGGCCCTAAGTAACGTTTCTGTGGCCCTATGTAACGTTTCTGTGGCCCTAAGTAACGATTCTGTGGCCCTAACTAACGTTTCTCTGTCCCTAACTCTCTCCCTGCATATAGACAGCTCTGCCTCTGTTGAATGACTGGAGGCAAATGGAGAATTCTAAAATGGCCGCCATTTATAGCTCGACCATTACACTGTGCTGGCCTTTTGGCTAAGATCAAGTGTAGTATCTGTTCTTATCAGTGTCCAGTGGGGTGCTACCGACCATTCTAGTTTACGGGGATGGTTGTTGTACAGTACCCTCACTGGTATGATGGGGGTCCGGAAGGCTAGTACCGGAGGGACAGAAACCAGGGAGCGCCATGATTCGTTCTGGGGCCTTGGGAGTAATTCCTCTGGGAGACCGGAAAGACCCAGTTCCTCCTGGTTTGAGCAGGCTACCTTGGTCTGGCCTGGGGTCGGGGACGCAAAAAGTCCGCAAACTCAGTGCCCCCTGGGGAAGACGCTCTCAGGGGTGTCACTAGTAACACTTGGGTGTGGGACCCCACGGTGTGAAGATGACACATGGCCACTGTTTTTCACCTCTTTTTGCACAGCGCCCTAAGGACCAGGTCTTTTGGCTAAGTCCAGGGCAATTTTTGCTACAGGCCTCAGGGCCTGGTCTGTGCACTATTAGGCACGGTACCACTTTTTTATTTTATTCTATTTATTTTAACCACTCCCACGTTTTGTCACTTTTTGCTTTCTTATGTGTGTGTTTTTTTCACGGATGGAGGGTGTGGGTCCTCGGGCCTTACCTGAAGTCTAGGGGGAGGATGTGTGGCCATACGGTTCCTTCCTCCCCTGATCCCTAGGGGGTTTTCTCTTCGGGAGAACCCCTTGCCTAGTACTGGATGTCCGGCTTCGGCTGGGCATAAGGAACGGTGGTCCACCAGGCCTTTTGGCCAGGAGGACCAAATGGGAACCTTGTCCCTGTCAGGAGCTTCGTGCCCCGGGGGATCGGGTGAACGGTCCAACCCTTTCGGGGGTAGGACAAACACACCCTAAGTGCACGTTTTTTCGTGTGTGTGTTTTCTGCACTTGCACTTTTTTGCGGACACTTACGGGTTTTTTTCGTTACAGTTCCACGTTTGCGGACTTAAAAAAAAAAAAAAAAAAAAAAAAAAAAAAAAAATTACACTGTGCTGGCTGGCTGGCTGCTGATTGGCTAATGCGATCACATGTCATGAATGAATGCATTATGGGTCAGCGCGCCTTGTCTGCGCGCCTTCCCAGACATCCCCGCTCCGTCGCCGCACATGTCGCCGCCATTTTTGGAAAAATTTCGATTCGCGCATCCGAAGTCTGCTTATTTTCGGATTCGACGCGAATCAAAATGTTCCTAATATTCGAAACGAATTCCACTTCGCCTACTTCGATTCGCTCATCTCTACTGATGACTTTTATTTTTTGACAGGGTGAGTGGAACTCCGCTTTAAGCAATACTCCTTTATAACTGGCTGTGCGAGTAATGCTTTATAACTGGCCTTGTCAGTACTGCAAAGCCAGTTATAAAACATTACTCACCAGTTACAAAGGAGGATAGTTTTTATAACTGGCTTTTTGAGGACTACTTTTAGTAGTGCATACAAAGAATACTAAATACTTCATTGCCAAATACATGCACAGCCAACTTTTCTGAGTTGAACGGTGACAGTCTGCCCTTCGGCTTGAGCCAAGCACGGCTGCTGAGAGAGAGGAGTGCCCAGTGGCAACAGGCGCACACTGATTAGAAAAGCCTGGCCATGAGCTGGTTGATTAGTAGACTGCTGTAGTCACAGAGGGGAAAATAAAATGACTTACCATTAACAAAAAGAGCACTCTCCGGTCCTGGGGCATCCGATCCAACCTCTCCACTGCGCAGATTAAGAGAAAGAGCTCAACTTACACCAGCATCCAGTGGGAAAAGAAGTTGGCATGCATGGTGCACCATCCACACTAGTTTCCCTATATGCAGCACCTTGCTGGCTTTCATGTGCGGGAGGTAGGTCTCAGTGGGTGGGAAGAGAGCTGGGCATGCCACATTCCCAGCTGTACTGCTTTCCCTATATGTGGCCGCAGCACCTTGCCAGCTTTCATGTGCGGGAGGTGAGTCTCAGACCTGCCTCCCGCACATGAAAGCCAGCAAGGTACTGTAGTGCAGCCGTATGTATGGAAAGCAGTGTGGCTGGTGCACACCCACCTCTCTCCCAGCCCACTATTTTTCCAGGATTGCTGTCATGTGCCACATACGATCAAGGGCGGCTGGAGGTTGCTGAGCCCTACCCTATACTCTCCTGAATCCCGGCCTGATGGAATAGTAAACCAACAGGCCGTGACTGACATGTCATTGACATATGCTCTGGGGGTAGGTTTGATCCCCCTTGACTCCCCCTCTTATCTACGCCCCTGCTTGCTCCCCTACTGCAGACCCACACACAAGTCTCCGATGTTCTGCTTGGCTTCCTTGCACCATGACATCACATGACATGCTCAGGCACCACCTTTGCCAGACCCACCCTTCACCGGCTACTGTAGCTGGCACTCGGATGGTTTCAACCAGCTCCATATTTTTAACTGGCAACCTTTTCCTGTCACAGACATTTACTGGCAGCAGAAAAGTGCCCATTTTCTGCTGGCTGCAAGTAAAAACACTGATGGTTGGCAACACTGCTCCCAACTGTCCCTGAACCACAAGGACCTTCCCAGAAACTGTAGGCTGTCCCACATATGCTAGTAGAATCCCAGAGACTGATATTCTTTTCTGTTTGAGAAATCCTTCTCTGAGTGGACCTCCTGGCTGCTTTGCTTAATGGCGATTGGCTAAAGCTCAAAGCAATCATCCTGTAACTGGCCACTAAATCTGTGTGCTGTGGGGACAGGGACAGAACCCAATCTATGCCGAAACCCAAGAAGCACTGCCTAATGCAGGAGAGCTGGGGAGTGAACCTTATACACAAGTTGTTTGAGTGTCCCGCTGTTGTTGCAGTGTCCTGGCAGATTGTGGCAGAATGTTTTCAGGTGAAGTCTGTGCCAAGATTCTGATTGATCATTCATTATCAGCCAGAAGCTGGCCTCAGGTTGCAGTCACAGTGCACCATTTGTTCTCCTGCCTGCTTTATCTGTACAGAACTTTGCAGCAGGATGAGGATACAGTGAGATTGCTGAGAATGAGGGCAACATGTTCTGTATTGTTTGAATCTGGGCTTCCCTATTTTACCATTTATGTATTATTTCCAGTTCCGTGGTCTCTGTGTCCTCAACAAATCTATCCAGCTCTGCCGCATTTGCACACTTCCCCATAGTCTTAAATAGAGCCATATACTGTTCTAAAACTTTATATCAGGGTAGGGAACCTTAGAGAGGTGATCTATCTGAACAACACAGGAGAAGTCAAAGATCACCAGGTACAGTGTCCTGTTGTTAGGTCCAGTTCACAGCAGAAAGCGTGCAGGGGAGGCATGTTCAGCATGCATTTCACACACTACAAAGCATATTGCCGTGGTCATTTATTGTGGGTGCTAATACATTGTTAGTGGCATTCCAAATGCAGATTGCAAAAGCGCTGTGTCTTCCTGCACCAGATTGCATGGTTCTGCAGTAACATGCGATTTGGTGCAGTGTGTTTTTGAAAAGCAGTGCATGCAATACTTTTTGTGTGGTCTGGTGTGATACACTTCTTATTTACATGAAATTGCACCGCACACAGGAACATAGACTTCTACCCCCTTTACCTGCAGAGGCAGCAGCTGAAGGTATACACATGCCTCATCAGGAGTTATACTACCTGTCGTTTATTGCAACCCATTGGGCCACACTGCAAATGCCCCACAACTGCGTGCTTTGCACATGTTTGCAGCATTCCAGTGCAACGTCCAAGGGGATAAAGCAGGTGGTGAGTAGACAATCTAACAGGATGTGATTGGAGGGCTCTGAGACCCATTCAGAGTGCCATGGGACCCAGGAGGTGAGCACATGGTGCCCTGGAGTGTGTTGCAGGAGGAGAACATTACTGAGGGCTCACAGACTGCTGGAACTTAGATCCTGGTGAGAGTTTCCTTTGTGCTTATGAGAGCAAATTGCTGGACTGGGCTATTGCCTGGTCTGTGTGCTACCGAGCTTAGGTACACATGTAGACTCTCCATTACTGAGCTGTGCTAAAGGTGGAAAACTGCAAAGGGACTTTGCTGCCTAGAGCTCAGGCAGAGCAAGACACAAGACTGTCTGTTATGAGCTGCTGACCACATGCGGCTGCCAGAGGATCTATTCTGCCAAGAAAGGTGAGTTCTACCTGAATCACATGCCAAACTGTGTGCAGGGGCCAGGCTTTAGGCTGCTTCTTTACTGAGTCCTACTATCTGTAGTGAGGAAGGAGACACTGTGCTTCCATTCCAGTGTGTTAGTTACTGGGCAGGTGTTCCCGCTGCCACCACCTGCTATATTCTGCAGAGAACTTACTTGTGTGAGGACCGTTTGGGA